CTCGGACCGTTCTCAATAAATCCTTCCTCTTCACGGAAGCATTCCATCCTTTAAACGTGAACACTGAACGGAATAAATATCTACAAGCATAAATTCCTGCGCTATTAAATTATTAGTCGAAAACACTCAAGTTTATACAGGGAAAGTGAGCGTCCACATACATGATATTTTCGCATCAGAAAAGCTTCAGCTGCAGGAGCCGATACATACGAGCAGCAACTATTTTAATCAGAAGTACTCCATCGTCTTAAAGACCATGATGGAATGCGATCATCGTCTCCTACAACAAAATGATGGCAGGAGATGCGGACATCTCAAAAAACTTCATCTTAGGGTAAGAAGAGAAAGAAAACGACTCGATGTTGCGTCCACGGTGGCTTGGCAATGGTTTGTGAGCGCGATACGGCTGCTGAGCAATGTTAGCCGCATGAGCACAACATTTCAGTGGACTGTGGCTTTGCACAAAGGCACAATCGTGCGTGGCGTCCCTCGCAAGGAGATGTGGACGCGCCAAGTGAAAGGAAATCGCCATTGATCAAAGGCGGTGGGAATGGCTTGGTTATTCTGAAAGGGAGCTATTGGATGCCTTCAAGATAGTGCCATCCGGCATTACTGCTAATGTTTCGCCAACCTCAAGAACGCAGTGCAGCTGGAACCAGATAAGGCCTGTAATGTGGCTATGTGATTACCGTCAAGGTGTACCGGTACACAAGTTTGATTTCAAACCTTAATCGTGTTGGACAGCGATGTCGTGAAGAAGGGTCTGGCTAGAGGATAGAATGCGCTGGAAAGGTGCGGCTTTCAATCCGTATCCGTCCGTATGACGAAACCAAGGGATGGATGCGCAAATATCGATAACGGGAGCGCATCTGTATTCACTAGCACTAGCAGCCGCCAAGCTCTGTGCTTCACCTGCTCACGATAACGGGTGCATCGTTGGGCACGTTGGGCTGCATCGGCATTCCTCATTGGTGCCATCCAATTGCCATAAAAATGAAAAAAAAACTGGCAATCGATGCTCAATATCTCGAGATGTTTCTCTGACGTTTGACGAGGAATAAAATCGCTCATTAACCAGAAAGAGAAATATCTTGCAGCCGATTTCTCTGTATGACTGCATTTGACTGTTATTCCTGCCGACAGACAGAATTTGAGGCATCTGGGACCGCTTTATGAGTTCTGTTGGATGCATAACCTTCTCTAGGCATCGCTTTA